CAGTTTCTCTTACATGAGAGGAATTCAATTCAAGAAACAATCTCTAATGCAAAGAAGCAAGCAACCACGTGCTAATGACCTCTGATTAATCTCTCAAAGTTGAGAGTTTTTACTGACCAAGAACTAATGATATAACAAAGACAACCTTGCTCTCAATAGAATTCATAAAAGAAAACAATTTTTAGGAGGTAAATACTGTTAATTACTTTAATTAGCATATAGTACCTCTGAAAAGACACTGGAGGATCCACTATGAGTCCGTTCTGACTTCTCAGCATACAATAACAACAATGTATAAATGAGCTCTTCTGTACAGAATGATCATGAATTGCTGTGTTAACCCAAAGACAGGCAGCTTGAAAGCACCAGCTCTTCCACAGGAAAAAGACAGGCATTCTCTTCATGTGTAAGTGACTTCTCTTGAAAACTCAGGGAGGGTTAGCTATGAGTCAGTTCCTACTCAAGAGTATGTAACAACAATAACAACAACAACAACAATAATGTTTCTTTTAGCCTGGTAAAAGTTCTATGTAGAGAACCCAACTGAAAATGCCAATACTTTCAGAACTGTAACGTAATACACGATATTGTTTTACAGTTAGTTTTGTGATAGTTTATTGTTCGGCAATAGAAGATGATTACAATAGATTAAATTTTAAAAGCTGGAAAATTCAAGTATGGCTAATAATATGAAACCACCAGGCCGGGTTTTAATTGTTTTTTGTCAAACATCTTTCTAAGTGGTAAAGTGCTGGTCTGTCTATTTGCTGTATAGAGGTAGCTCATGGTTGTTGTGATGCTGAACACTGTGACACTGAGGTGCCAATGCAATAATGGTTACTGCACGGTGGCTAGTGTTTGGTGAAGCTCCCCGATTAAAAAGTCTCAGGTCTTTTGTTCATAGGGTCGCTATGAGTTGTCTACGACTTGATGGCACGTAACAACAACGACGAAAATATATTCATATAATGGAAAATTATACAGCTGTGAAAATGAATGAGTGACCTCAGTGCTAGATGGGTTTTATACACATATCACTTAAAACTATGTACATATTACTCTTACATTAGTATTATTTAATACACATAGGAAAGCTTATTTTTTAAATAAATGTCAGAAAGGACATAACTAATACATGGCAAAACCCATAAAACTATATTGTAGTCAGTTGATTTGGACATAAAGACCACCTCATGTTGTTATGAGGATGTCAGTCATTAGAAAAAATTATTATACTGGGAAAGAGAGATAGACATATAAAGAGAGGAAGACACTAAAAAAGATGAAGTGTCATGGTGACTTGAGCATATTGGTGAATATGAGGATGGCACAGAGTAGGGCAAGGTTGAGATCTGTTGTTCATAGGCTTGATGTGGGCTGGAGTCACATAACTATAGCCTAATAACAACATGTGTTACAACTTTCCCTAAGCTTTTCTTGCTGAAACCTTAATAGAAGCAGAACAGCAGGCCTTTTTTTTCTGTAGTGGTGGTGGTGGTGCTGGAAGAGTTTGTAGTTAGTAGTAAAAACCAACTATTATTTATTCCTTATGGCCCCAGGAATAGATGGTATACCAACTGAAGTATTTCAGATAACAGATATTGCCCTGGATGTGCTCACCAAGGTGTGCCAAGAAATCTGGACAACAAACCCACTTGGCCAACTGACAGGAATAGATGTATATTTGTTCTCATTCCAAAGAAGGGTGACCCAACTGAGTGTGGAAACTACAGGACAATATCATTGATTTCACATGCAAGCAAGATTCTACTGAAGATTATCCAAAAAGAAGTAGAACAGCACATCAGCAGAAAATTGCCAGAAGTCCAGGTTGGGTTTAGAAGGGGTCGTGGTGCTAGGGATATTGTTACTGATGTTAGACGGATCTTGGCTGAAAGCA